GATTTTAATGAGATTTAATGAATGCATACACATATATGACAATGAAAACTTTGTTGCAACACTGTTAAATGAATTTTTTTTTTTTGATGAAAAATGTATATGAAGGGAATTATTTGTATTTTTTTATTTTAGAGAGGAGCCATCACGGAAATCAATAAATGATGGAATTACGGGTACCGTAGGAACACCTCCAGAAACGCCACCACCACTTCCGGAATCACCGTGTCCTGCGTTATCCTCTCGAAAGACACCACTTTCTACTGTAAGTTCTCGATTTTATGAGTTTTATACTAAAATCCCCCATGCATAAATTATAAACAATCCAAAATGAATTTAAAATATTTAGACATTTAATTTCCAAAAAAGCTGGCATTTATATTTTTACATTGTCATCCATTCTTTTTTTTCTATTTCAGTTTATTTTTAACAAGGATTTTCTATCTTTCAAGATCACTCAAAAGAATCGTTATATCATTTCTCAAATGCTAATTCGATTTTGAACGTTATTGTTTGTAATGGTAGAATATATGAAAATAGATACGATTGAAAAGTTTAAAAGAAACTCAAATAGAATAAATAATTTGTAATTTAAATAAATTTTAAATTTATAATTTTTCTTTCAGCCATTTTCAATTGATACATCGAGTGCGCATACACTTCGGAAAGGTTGGTTAATGCTACGAGGTAAAGGAGCTTTTGACTGGACGAAGCATTGGGTGGTATTGGCTGGCCTTTCACTCAAACTGTATAAGTATGTAAATTAAAATTTTTTTTTGCAGGTGTAGATTTTGAAATTTTATGAATTATATTATCATTTACTTTTTCTCCAAGATAAGATATCAAGTAGTCATTAGTTCATTTCTTATCAGCTTATCTGTTTCTTTAATATTTAGAGATGTCTGGGCTGAAGATTCTGCTGAACCGTTGCTTTCTGTTGATCTCAATGAATGTGAAAATGTTTATCCATCAGCTTCTGCTAAAAATTATGGCATTGAAATTAAAGTTAGTTCCTTTTCTTTTCTTTTTTTTTTGTTTAATCTTGTGAATTCAACGTTTATCCTTATATATATA